CAGAGTTTACTGGCATTTTAATTCCACTGATATCTTAAGGAAATTATTAGACTTTCACTGGGTTTATTGTCTAACCTCCCATAGGTTAATAGTCCAACAAGTATCTCTCCCCATTTAAAACAGTATACAAACTCAACAAATTTGACTGATACCTTCATTCTCAGGAATATTACTAAACTCATCCAGTGCACCTCCAATTTGCTGGGCAGAGGGATAAGCTAGTTTAGAAACTTGCTCTGTAATTACTTTACCCTCCACCCTCGACACACACCTCATTTTTCTCTCCCATATTTTTCCAAGAATAGGAAATTGATGTAAGATTTTTTCTTGTTTCCAGGTTTTGGGTGCAAACACTCAGGGTTATATAACAACTCTTCTGACCATCAGTCACTAGGTGAAGCTAAGTGAAATAGTTGGAGGGAATGAAACAGCCTTCCTCAACTTGGTGCCCTTCGGATCCTTTGGACTACAACTCCCAGAATTCCTGACAATTAGCCATGCTGCCTGATGGGAACTCAAGTACAAAATATCTGGGAAGCACCACGTTGGGGAAGGCTAGAATGTATGTTAGGATGCTGACAGGACAACAGCTCTGCCGTCTCCCATCTACAGTCAGTTTTTTAAATTGGCCATAGGGTGGCAGTACTTCCTTGAACACATACCCTTGTTTTCATCCATACATCAAGAGTTGCTGTTAGCAGAAGGGATTGGGCGCTCTCATATTTGTGTTGGAGATTAGGCAGGACTGTGAATGGAAGCAGAAAGCAGGTCCTGAGCAGTGTCTGAACCTGGGATTGTCAGATGGCATGTCTCACATGTATGTTTGTGCATGTGTGAGAATACCATAGGTTCAGGCCTACAGAAGAGTCACTCTGCCTTTCTGATTACCAAATGTATGGCAGAGTTGTCCTCTGTATTAGTAGCTCCTAGGCAAGGCAGCCAGTGTAGCACAGTGGTTAGAACATCAGACTAGTACTTGGGAGACTCGGGTAATATTTCCTACTTGGCCATAAAGCGTGTTGGATAATTTTTAATCAGTCACTGACTCTCAGGCCAACCTACCTCACAGGTTGTTGTAAGGATAAAATGAAGTGGAGCAGGATCGTGTTCATCTGTTAGGCTCTTTGGAGAAAAGGTGGGATATAAATAAAACTAGAATAAATTATATGAAAGATGTCACGGAATTCCAGGACCACAATAAACACTCATTCAGAACACTAGCAGGGGTAAAAACTGGGGAGAGGGCTTACACAATGGTAGCTATTCCATCTGACCTACATCTAGCCTAACTAGTTACTATAAGAACTGTAAATGTAAGCACTAGTGCGCTAGTCCCCGATGTTACCCTTTTTCTTGTCAGTCTGTTTCACCTTTTCCTTTGTTTGTCTCACCTTTGAGATTGTAAATCTTACTGCTGATCTGTGTTGGCTACTCTGGGAACCTTTTTGGCTGTAGTGGGATAAAATGCTAAATAATATAGTTATTAAACCCTTTTAGGCAAAATTGTTCCTATTCAATCTGATTTAGCTCCTTATTTAGAAAAGAGCAATGGTTATGCCAATAGCACTTGCCTGACCTATTTTTCTGGATAGATTTCAGCTTATTTAGCTCAAGGTTGCTTAGAGATTTGAAACCAGACATGTGCCTGCTTAACCCTTGGCCATCCTTGTTGGTGAAACCAGATAGCTTGAGCAATTGATAGTTTTTAGTGCTCTTTATTAGAGGACATGGTGCCATTCAGTTTAGAGGAAATAGTACTTGGCTATTGGGGAGGGATATAAATCTAACAAACAAATGACCAAGACCTCTACTAAAGAAGGTTTGCTCAGCCCTGCCCACTCTGATAATTATTGGTTCATCTCTAATCTGTCATTTCTTACCAAGGTGTTTGAGCTAGTGATGATAACGCAGTCCAGGTTTTGAGAGCGGTTGGATCTGTTTCCTTGCTGATACACATCCCACCTTACATTTATTTACTTAGTTAATTTTTATACTGCCTAATAGCTAAGGCTCTCTCTGACTTTGGCACTAAGACTGCCAGTCTTAGCAGAGACATTGTCATCTGCCTCCTCTCTCCTCAGACATTCCTGTTGCTTCTGAATTTAAATGCAATCCTCACAATACCTAGGGGGGGAAATAATTTTCTCAATACAAAGTATTTTGAAGTGGAGTATTTTGGAGTGGCTTGGTCTTAATTAGGCAATAAGGCCCATGAGCTGTATGAAAGATATGCTCTTGGTGGAGTTGAGAACTGCTACAGATATGGATCAATATAGTTGCCTCAAATTTTGGACTTTTGCATGGCTGTGGGGACTATCATGATGAATGTCTGCATTTCAAAATTTACCGCTACACTACTGAAAACTGGTCTGGTCGCCTTGCTAGATAGCATTTGCAGGTTCACACAGAACAAATAAAAGCATCCTAAGTTGGTTCTGTAGAACTTCAAGAAAGCTTTTGATATGATTGATTGTTGTATACTTATGTGGTACCTTTCTGAGATAGTAACAACAGTCACTACTTTGTGGTAGTTCCAGTTCTACCTGACTCAGAAATTCCAGAAAGTGATCCTGGGGAATTCCTGGTCTGACAGGATTCTATTCTGTTCCAGACCTATTTACTATCTATAGCACAGGGAGCAACTTCAGGGGCTATGGAAGCAAATCCTACCTTCCCAGAAGATGCACCCCCTGTCACTGCTGTGTCATTGAATTTCAACACACTGGTTTGCTCCTACATTTTGAAAGCAAACCAGTGGCCTGTAAAGGCCAGATTTAGCCTGAAAGCATGGTGTGCCCTTTGAAACCTGGGAGTACTTCTGGATGTGACCTTGCAGCTACATGTGGCCTTTTGCCAGGAATGCATTTGCAAAGCTTTAGAAAGCATGCCAACTATGTCCCCTTCCTAGATAAAGCAGATTTGGCAACAGTAGTATGTCCGTATTTCATCCAGTTTAGATTACTGTAGCATGCTTTTCATGGAACTGCTTCTGAAAAGAGTTTAGAAGCTTGGTGCAAAATGAGATGGAAATATTTTTTCTTCCAACTTTGTTCCATTTGCCCTTGCTACCAGGCCCTTTCTTAGATATGAAGCCTTACCCAGTTCAGACTGAAGAGATCCAAAGACCTGCCTCTTCCACACAATTCTAGCTGCCCACTGCATTCAGCATTGGCCGTGCTGATATATGTCCCACTGTGTTAAGTAGAATGATTACTTAGAATGCAAGGTGGAGCCTTTTCTTTTGCAGCCCCCATATTATGGTATCTCTTTTCTGGAGAGTTGAAGCTGGTTCCCTCTTAAGTGTCAGATGTGCTGAAACCTTTTTACTCCAGTAAACTTTCAGTGAACTTTTTAAAAATCTTCCTTTTTAAAACTGTTTTTAACGTACCATATTATGTTGTTTTTAGTAATCTTTGGATTGTTTGTTGTATTTACTGAAGTATTACTAATGATATAAGCTGTATTTGTAAAGAAAAACAAAGCAGAAATTTCCAAACAAATAAAGGTTTGTCTAGCAGGATTGTGAGTACAGGTGTGTGCAAGACTGTGCTACAGTGAGATCAATATGAAGTTATCAGTCCTTACTACACGTACGCGTGTGTGTGTGTATGTGTGAGAGAGTGAAGTTATATGTGGATGTTGTTAAGGCATGGAATGAAGATATTTTAAAACTGCACCTCTCCTGAGTACTACGTGTTATAGAGAGAAAACTAAGCAGACTGTAGATTAAACTTACACTCCCACATCCCTGCTTGACATTGTAATTTGTTTCTTATCTCTTGATGACGATATTCCATTTATATCCAGTATTCTTCTTGAAAAGACCTCAAGGCAGTTCTTCTCTCCTCCATTTAATCCTCACAATACCATCCCTGGGAGGTAGATCAGGTCAAGAGTCAGTGACTGGGCAGAAGTCAACCAGTGAGCTTCATAGCTGAGTAGGGGCTACAAGCCAGATCTCCTGATTCCCAGTTCAGCACTCTTGACCACTATACTGCACTAGCTCTTGATGTCCATTCTAAGAATCTAGTATTAAGTTCTGTACAGAAACTTAAGTTTGTACATGCAGTGATTAAAGTCTGAAAAAAGCAGAGCAGGAAGTTATAAGAACATAAGAAAAGCCATGCTGGATCAGAGCAAAGGTAACCCATGCATTCTGTATATATGTTGGCAAACCAGCTGCCCTCAGGATCCCTCATGCAGGATGGATGCAAGACCTCATCCTGCCCAAGCTACTCAGCAACTGCAGGCATGCCACCTCTGGTAAAGGAGAAAGCATGTAGCCAGGAAGGTTAGCAGCTACTGATAGCCTCTTTCCTCAAGTACTAATCCTTAAACTCAGATGTGTGGGTATGGGGATAATGTACGCTGTACAACCCAAAAATCCCTTGAAATATTACACAGGATGTTAGGGTGCATTTTTACAGCATACAGCATTTTTACAGCATGCCCACACATGTATGATCTTACAGTTGTGCACTGGCAATTATAGACAGTAAGAAAGTTTGGAACCCTTGGATCTCGCACTGCCTTACTGGCATCTTTAAAACATTGCTGCTCCATGTGATGTTAGATTTGTTGTTATATTGGACCACCTCAAGACTTTTCCATATGCTCAAGAAACCTAAACTAGTGTGACTGAAAACTAGACTGTCAAGGCCCCATGCTTATTTAAATTTATGCATTAACAGATTGCTTCATGTGTGCTTGTAAAACAGTTGGATGAGTGCTCTATTTTGAACTTGTGTATCCCACCACGAAGAACTTGAAAGTGGCTCAAACAGCCATTTAAGCTCATGATGGAATTGCTCAGATGACTGATCTGCCAGAAGCCTGTCTTGATCTAGGCTGTCATCCTGGGCTGGTTAGGAAAAATGTCCACTTTCTAGATACCAAATTGAACTGAAAATCAGTTCTGCACCATGTGCAGGGTGGCCTGGCCTTAGCTGAGGCGCTGTTAGTCTAAAAGTACAAGCAAGCAAGCAAACAGGAGACAATGATTAACCACAAGATGTTTAATTATTCTTGAACAAGAATAAAGGACAGTAAGTTTTGCTGATTCACATTTACAAACATGTTGGCAAAAAGAAAACAATATCCAGTGTAATTTTTAGCCTATTTTACAGCCCTTGAGGGGGGAAAGCATTAATATAAAACAGTCTGTCTATGACTCGTACATCTAAGTGCCAGGAGGAACTTGAATCATTACCCACCAAGTGGTTGGTAGTAATGTGTAAATTTAGGAATGGTGTGCACATGCATCTTAAGGATATCCTAAAACAAATGTGAAAAACTTTTTTGAAGGATTAGGGTGCATACGACACCCTTAATATTGCTTCTGCTTTAAACAACAAGTATTTGTGCAACGTACAGGTGATCTATTGCTTAGCCACACAAAGAGTGAATTTACAAAAGTTTATAGTCTGCTGCATTGGTATGACCTCTGTTTGAACCAAAAAATTACCATATTGCTAGAAGCAGGCCCAAGGTACTCTTGTTGCAGCAAGTCTGAGAAATGTTAGAAGAAGGACATGTTGTTTTAACACGCAATGCTATGCAAATTTACTCAGAAGTCAGTCCCATAGAGTTCAATGGGGCATACTGCTAAAGAAGTGCTTATAGAATTTCCATCATCAGGCACAAAGAATAAGGTCGCATTTCGGATTTTATTTAAAGTGCACTATCCAAATTCTGGCAGAGGAGCCTATTTGAATAGTGCCCAGCTCCTCAGAAATCTCAAGCTAATCTCTCTCATCAAATGCAGTTGTCAGTAAGTGAGAGTACAGCACATATTAAACATGTTGCAGTGAATGTCTGAATTCTGGGTTCAGTTCAGGGTCAAACTCTGAAATGGGCAGACGTTTGGGTACCACCTATTCATTTCTCTCCTGTGGAAAAAGCTGCATGATACAATGCATCATATTAGTGTTTCCACAGCTGCCCAGAAATGGCCAATGAAGTAGAATGAAAAAAATACTAATGAAAGGAAATGTGTCACCCTCCCCCACCGCAAAATTCCACAAGTTACCAGGGAAGATGTGAATATTAACAAAGCATGTTGCTTGAGTCAGAGACATTAATATTCCCAAATTACTATTTCAGATGTCTTGAATGTTCAACTTAAAGCAGGATAAATTTTTAAAGAGTAAAGGCACCTGACGAGGTAAAAAGTGAATAGGAGCTTTGGCATTACCACATAAACCAGAAGTGGGGAATTTGTGGCCATCCAGATATTTTGGACTAGAACATCAATCAAAGCTAGCCAGTATGAACAATGGCTGGGATGATAAGAGTTGAAGTCTAGCAACATCAGGAAGACCACAGGTTCTCTACGCCTGTCACATACCAAGTTAAAGGATCTGACTTTACAGTAGAACAGCCTCAACAAAGAAGCAATAGCAAATTTTGCTTTCATATAATGAGATGAGTCACAGTGTCTGGAAGGCAAAGGAACATGTATTCCTCTACCCAATAAGATCACATTGTCCAGTAACTTGGAAGTACTAATCTGTCTTTAAGGACCAACATAGGCATTGCTTTAAATTGCTGCTAACAGCAAGATGTTATATTTTGGGATTTATTTTTTTTTTAAATTCAGGGAAAGGCTCAGGGCTCCTATTCTAGATCAGAATCCTGACAAAGAACTGGAGGTTGCTCTGGAAATGGGGCTCTGTGCCTACACTTGAGTAAAAACAAAAAGATACAGCTATTAGACTTATCTTTAAAGCAATGTCTATTTGGCTCAAACACTTATCACATTCTTACTGGCACAGCCAATGCCAGAGGAACTGAGTGTAAGTCTTGACAAGTTGGACTTTATCTTCCAAGAGATTCCTTCCCAGTATATTACTATAAAACAGCCTTTTCCAAAGGAACTTGTTATTCTGTTTAGAGGCTTGATGAAGAGCTTTATCCACTTTCAGCATGACACAGAGGAAAGATCACAGAAGGCTCCTGTTTCTAGCATGTGTCAACATTGTGAGAACAGAAGGGAGCATTCCTCTCCAGTTTTATCAGCATGAGGTTACATTAACTGAAAGGGCAGGGAGGACTGCAGCTTTGGTGAAAACCCCAACATTTTTGGCAAGGATGAAATGGAGTCTAGAAATACACAGTACTATCCCATTCAACAGTGCTTCTTGCTTAGAACACTCCACACCCCTGCTTTTACCTAGCAGTTACGACCTATGTTTTTAGGCTAGGAGTACTGAGGTCCAAATTAAATGTGATATGGGAAAGCTCCCATCAGAGCTCTCACATATAGAGTGTAGCACTGGGAAAGGGATTAATGATTCATCTTTTAGTTTTAGAGAAAACAGTTTTCTCCCAATTTAAACTGCAGCCCTGAAGTTGCTATTAGCTAGAAAGGAGGTGGGGGGGGGAAACAGGTATAATATGGATACTTTTCTTTCCTCAGTTGCGGAACTCATAGGAGCTTCAAGAGGACAATTTAGTCTGGAAAGTGGCAGAGAGGAAGGATTAGTCTATTCCAGGGCTGTGCCCCAAAACCAAATACCTAAGGCTTCTTTTAAGCCAAAGACAAAGATGTCATCAAGTATCTCTTATCGAGTTTGTCCTTGAGCAAGCCTGAGTGGTTAACAGAACACAAAAGGCAAATACTGAGGTCAACTGGAGCCTCGGGCTCCCAGTAGCTTCACAGCAACTTGATACCTGATTTTAGTTTAGTTTTAGTGTAGCAAGGAAGAGAAAGGCAGCAGGAATAATAATGATTGCAATTTACAATATAGCAAAACTTCCCATTCCAGAGGAACCTGAACTACAAGCTATTTACATTGCTGTGACTTAGCTTTAACTCAAGATGAACCCAAAACCCTCCACAGTTTGAGTCATCTAACTGAAACAATGAAGTAGCACATTTGGGGTCAAACTTAGCTTGAGCTTTTAACATCCTCTTTCTAAAGTACAGTGCAGCAGGAGAGGAAAGGGAAGGCAGTTTCAGTCTCAAAATGCTTTGCTCTCTTTTAAATTCCAGTCTATTTTCATTCAGTGACAATTTTGCAGTTAAGTGACTTGACGTAGGTTTCCAACAATGCCTTCCACTTGATCCTTCTAATCTGTATTGCATCTTCTGACTTTCTAGGAAGTAGCTATTGTAGGTTCTTAAGAGTGTATTCACAGCAAATGTGGGATTTGGCCTCCTGATACTTCAAAACCCTGGTATGATCACTGACTTGCATCATTAAGGGGCTTCCACAAAATCATCAACACTGTTGCTGGGACTAGGCTGGTAAAGCAACTGAAAAAATCCTAGAAGCCTGGAGACTGCAGAATGAAAGTTCCAAGGCTCAAAGATGTAATATTGGCAAGAATTCCTTGCTCCTTTCACACTGTCTTGCTTGAAGACAACCTTTCACACTACTCCTTTAATAAAGCTGGTGTCCAAATGTACAATTAGCATGCGGAGGAAGGACATCTCTTTGCGGGTATTTTCAAAGATTACTCTGGGATCATCAGATTGGCATCGCAGACAGTTTGGGGCCATCACCATGGCCAAGTTGTTTACATCCATCTTTGTCTTGCCCACATTGGCTGGCTGGGCAAAAATCTGTGAAATAAAAGGAGTATGACCTAAATAAAGGTAAAAAACAGAAGATTGCTTGTAGCCCTGAAAAAGCAGGTTGCTTACCTGTAACTGATGTTCTTCGAGTGGCCATCTGTGCAGTCACACATATGGGCACTGCGCCTGCGCAGTGCCTTTGGCCGGAAGATTGAAAGCTAACGGTTTTTGGCGGGAAGCTCCCCTCCTCTCCCCCATGGGCTATAAAGAGCGGAGCGTCCGCCATTTGTTCAGTCTTTGACGACCAAACGTGCGCCCCCTTGTGGAAAAGTTCTCAGTATGAGATAGGAAAAAGGGATCGGTACCAAGAAAAAATGGGAAACTTTCGGTACCGATGAATGAGTCCACTCACCGACACCGAGCGAGGCTGGCAGGTGGGTTGTGTGACTGCACAGATGGCCACTCGAAGAACATCAGTTACAGGTAAGCAACCTGCTTTTCTTCGTCGTGACCTCTGTGCATCACACATATGGGTAGATTAACAAGCTTACCATCAAAGGAGGAGGGAAGGTGTCCTCATTGTAGGACGGAGGAGAGTACAGCTCTACTGAAAGAGCAGTCCCGTCGAGCCCGAACATCGAGACGGTAGTGCCTGGCAGAGGTGCAAGGGTTCGCCCAAGTAGCGGCTCGGCAGACGTCATCGATCAGAACTCCGGATGCGAATGCAGAAGACGTAGCGACAGCTCTAGTGGAATGGCCTCGGGGAACTGTAGGCAGTTCGAGCTTAGCTAACCGATAGCACAAGGTAATAGTGTGGACTATCCACTTAGAGAGCCTTTGAGGAGTGACTGGGTCGCCCTGATCTCTAGCCGAATATTTAATGAACAGTTTATTGGATCGCTGAATAGACTCTGTTCGCGATCGATAAAAGGCTAAACAACGCCGAACGTCGAGGGAGTGCAAAGATCTTTCCAAGGGATTCGACGGCGATGGAAAAAAGGCAGGCAGTACAATGTCTTGTCCTGAATGGAAAGGTGTAGAGACTTTGGGCAAGAAAGATGGGTCGAGACGTAAAACGACCTTTTCTCTGTGGAAGTTTAGATAAGGAGGGTCGATGCAGAGGGCACAAAGCTCACTAGCTCTCCGGGCTGACGTGACAGCTACAAGGAACGCCGTCTTCCACGAAACTAATCGGAGATCCACAGTTGCCAAAGGTTCAAAGGGGGCCCTCATAAGGGCCTGTAGAACTACAGAAAGGCTCCACGTGGGCATAACTGGTCTAATCGATGGATTAAGGTTATACAGTCCTTTCAAAAATCTCTTGAGAATAGGATGAGAAAACAGGGGTGATCCGTCGACTAAGCCACGATAGTAGGCTATTGCGGCCGTATACACTTTAATAGAAGACGGCTTCAGTCCGGAGTGATGCAACTCCAGAAGGAACTGAAGAATTTGTTCAATTGATGAGACAAGTGGGGAGAACGAATGAGACTCGGCGAAGGCGGAAAACCGCTTCCATTTAGCTGTATATGACTTTCTTGTGGACGGCTTTAGAGCAGTGTCGATAATATGCTGAATCTCAGGGTGCAAGAGCGTTGGATTCAAATTCGATGGGGTTTGTCTTGAACCGGATGGTACAGAGAGATTGTGGCAGTGAGAAGCACCCGCATGGTTTGATTCGAGAATCGGGGCCAAAGTGGTCGAAGTGATCATTGAAACTGATGAATTAATAGAAGCTGTAGGATTCGAGGCTCTCGAATCCGTCGCCGGCCCCAATGGAAGGTCAATCAACGAATCCACCACGCTGTCAGATTCAATGAGAGCAAATCCGGGTGACGAAGTGTGCCGTCCATTTGCGTTATAAGATACGGAAGTGTCGGAAGGTGAAGAAACTCCCCGCGGGAGATGTCGAGCAGTTTCGCAAACCACGCTTGGCGTGGCCACCAGGGGGCAACTAGTATCCCCGACGCATGGTCGCTCACTATCTTCGCTATGACCCTCATCAAAAGAGGGATCGGAGGGAAAGCATAAAAGTTGATGTTGTCCCAAGGGATCATGAATGCGTCCCCTAGGGATGCTTGTCCGATTCCCGCTCTCGAATAGTAAGTCTTGCACACCCTGTTCTGTTGGGTAGCGAATAGGTCCACATCAGGAAACCCCCAGCGCCTGAACAGGTGGTTGCGCATGCGAGGATCCAGTTCCCACTCGTGCGAAGTGAAGATGTGTCTGCTGAGAAGATCCACATGTACGTTGTCTGTGCCGGCCAGATGAACGGCCATCAGAGTAATGTGTTTTGGAATGCACCAGTCCCAAATCGTCATAGAAAGCCTGGCTAAGGTCGGTGACTTCGTCCCTCATTGCTTGTTCAGATAAAAAACGGTCGCTATATTGTCCGAAGTTATCTGAACGATCCGATGACGAAGGAGGTCTTCGAAAGAACGAAGGGCTTTGAAGACTGCCAGCAGCTCTAGGAAGTTGATATGATTTGTGGATTCTAGACGAGTCCACGTTCCCTGGGTAGACAGGCCAGAGCAGATCGCCCCCCATCCTAGGAGAGACGCGTTGGTACCGAGAGTTATCGAAGGAGGTTGCGCCCTGAAGGGGACTCCCACCACGAGATTGGTCGGCTTCAGCCACCAGCACAGGGAGTGGAGCACGGAAGACGGGATCCGAATCCGTTTCGACTGTGGGTCTCTGTGTGGATGATACACCTTGTTGAAAAATAATTGTAGTGGGCGAAGCCGAAGTCTGGCATGTGGAACTACGGCAACTGTGGAAGCCATATGCCCCAGGACCCTCTGGATGGATCTCGCCGTGACCATTCCCTCTTGTCGAATTCGATGGATATGGCGAGCGAGAGTCTGCTGTCTGTCCGGAGGGAGGAAGGCTTTCTCCAACGTCGAATCCAAGCGAGCTCCAATGAAGGTGAGCGTCTGTGTTGGAAGAAGAGAAGATTTCTCTGTATTAATACGTAGACCCAGACTATCTAGTAAGGCACGGGTTGTATGGATGGTGTCTAGTAGTCCTTCTCTGGATTGCGAGACTAACAGCCAGTCATCGAGGTACGGGTAAATTTGTATGCCCTGAAGGCGTAGGAAGGCACAGACAGGAGCCACACATTTGGTAAAAATTCTCGGAGCTGAAGCCAGTCCAAAGGGTAAAACCTTAAACTCATAAAGTTGGTTTGCAACAGCAAAACGAAGGAAACGCCTGTAATTTGGATGAATTGAAATATGAAAGTAGGCGTCCTTCAGGTCCAGTGAGGCGAACCAATCCCCTCTCCTTAACAACGGCAAAATGTTTTGAAAGGTGATCATACGGAACTTTCTCGGTGTAATAAACTTATTCAAGTCCCGTAAATCCAAAATCGGACGTAGACCGCCGTCCCGCTTGGGGACTGTAAAGTATCTGGAATAGAATCCGTGGAGTCCGTCAGATGGGAATACTTGACGAATCGCTCCTTTAAGGAGAAGTTGATGTATTTCGTCGAGAAGTACCGGCGAACATGAAGTAGACCGGATCGGACTCGATGGAGGAACGATGTCGAATTCTATTCGATAGCCGTATTGAACGATGGACAATACCCACCGGTCAGATGTGATGGACTCCCAAATGGGGAGTCGGCTTTGGAGCCGGTCCCCAGATGAGAGGGGGGGTGGGTATTAAAGGAGCGTGAGGAGTGGTTCGCCAGTCCCGTCAGCGCTGCCTCCGATCGTCGAAGCGATGGCGGCCCTGTTGGAAGCGCTGCTGGGGCTGAGGACGGTGACGCTGCTGCTGTTGTTGCTGGCGAGGTTGCGGCAGCTGTCTCTGTTGGTATGGCTGCCTGTAGGATGGCTGATCCCAGGACCACTTACGTCTGCTATGTGACTGGATCTCCATCCTGCGCGCTGTCATTCTTGACTCGTGTAGTTTCTTGAGTTTATGGTCGGTGCGTGAATGGAAGAGTCCCGAGCCGTCAAAAGGCATCTCTTCTATTCGCTGCTTCGTTTCCTCCGGGAAATTACAACTCCGAAGCCATGCGTGTCTCCGGAGGGAAACGGCACCGACCAAGGCCCGGGAGTCAGTGTCCACGTGGTGACGTGCCGTGGACAACTGCTGCACCGCGACCTGCATGGCTTCTTTGATCAGGACCTTCGCAAGGTCACCCTGGTGGTTTGGGAGGGTGGAGGCGACGTTGTGGAGGCGCTGCATAATAAAATATTGATAGCGCGCCAACGTTGCCTCATAGTTAGAAATGCGAAGTCCTAAGCCCAAGGTAGCATAGACCCGCCTGGCCAGGGAATCTATTTTCCAGCCCTCCTTATCCCTCGGCGCCGTATGTCCCCTCGCCTCCCTGCCTTGCGAGGATTTGACGACCGCCGAGTTTGGTTTCGGGTGCTTTAACAGGAAGGGAATGTCTTCTTCCCTGACCCTGTACATAGATTCATATCTCCTGGACGTCGGTTGAGGATGTGAAGGTAGGTCCCAGGGCTGCGTCATCACCTGCCGCAGGGTAGTTATAAGTGGCAGAACGATAGAGGTCGATTGCTCCCCGCGGACGACGTCGTAAAACTTATCCGTCGACGGTCCTGGGCGCTGGGCAGCGTCGATGTCCAAGGACTGGACAAGCCTCGACATCAGCTCCGCGAAGGAGATGTGTGACTCATCGGGTGACGCAGGATCCTGGGATGTCACCACGACGTCCGGGGAGGTTGAGTCTACGTCAGAGTCATCCGAATCAGCACCATAGTATGGCGGGGCAGAAGATGATGACTCCGCCGGTGATAAGGAGCAGCTGCTTCCGCTTTGCGGGGATCGAGGCAGTACCCTCCTCGAATCCACAGGCTGCGGTTGGTCACGGGGCGGAGGTGAGGATCGCGCTCTGGGAGCAGGGTAGTATCCCACAGAGAGCGGGTCTCCCCAAGGTTGGCAGTAGGGACGACGCCAACTCTCCGGGCGTTGCTCTACCGAGCGGCTCCTCCGATTCCCTGGTGGGGACAGGCCAGCTTCTGTCTCCAATGTCACCGCGGGCATCGGTGTCGGTGACCTCGCTCTGGGAGGGGAGTCCTGAATTTCCCCATCCAAGATAGACCCCCGTAGAGTTGGAAGGGGTGCTGGTGGGAGGTCGACCGCACGTCGGGGGGACCCCTGAGGGGTGACCCGCATAGCCTCTTGAAGGATCAGTTCAGGCGGGGTCGGTATCGTAACCGCCACCGGTACCGAAGGGCCCGTCGGCTCCGAGTCCCGATTTTGGGAACGATCCGTAGACTTAGCCTTCTTTAGAGGCTTAGAGGCCTTTTCCTTTCTGGCCTTCTTATGGCCTGCCGGCTTGTCTTCGGCATGTTTGCGCTTCTCATGCCTCTTTTTTGGTGAGGCAGAGGGGGCCAGCGAAGCGGACGCGCCTTCATCTGAAGGGCGTGAGGGTGGAGCCAGAGAAGCAGAGCCCGGTTTTGGAGTAGAGATGAGCGGGTCTGATTGCATCAGAGCCCTATCCCAAAGGAGCCTCCGAAACTGGTTTTCGCGGTTCTTCCTAGCCTGCTTAGAGAAGGCTAGGCAATGAACACACTTATCCGTCCTATGCCCCTCCCCAAGGCAGAGGAGGCATAGGTAGTGCGGATCAGTAGGTGCCATTTTTGACCCGCAGTCAGCACATTTGCGGAAAGCCGCCTGCTGCGCCATCGCAGAAAAGGGAAGAAAAGAGAGATAGTGCAGAGGGTAAGTATATATTTTTTGGGTTTTTTTTTTTTTTTGGATCGAAGAAGAAATGAGAGAAAACTACACAGAACGGGAAGTGAAGTAAGGGGAAAGTAGTTTAAGGGCAATATATAAGGAGAGAACCAAGAATAGCCAAAGCGAAGGTCAAAAGCGGCGCGAGGCACAGCGAACTGTGGTCGCAAAGACTGAACAAATGGCGGACGCTCCGCTCTTTATAGCCCATGGGGGAGGGGAGCGGAGCTTCCCGCCAAAAACCGTTAGCTTTCAATCTTCCGGCCAAAGGCACTGCGCAGGCGCAGTACCCATATGTGTGATGCACAGAGGCCACGACGAAGAAATATAGTTTTTCTAGCCTAACGATGGACAACTTGTAGCCTTCCAGCTGACTTGGCCACAAATCCAGTCATCCCTCACAACTGGCTATACTGGTTAGGACTGATGGAAACTGCAGTCCAAAGCATCTGGAGGGCCACAAGTTGCTCTCCCCAGCTATAACCCTTGAAAGAATCACCAACTCCCACCGGAGCTGTCTGGTTGTGAAGTATAAGAAAGAACTTCAGATAACAGATGATGGAATGAAGGCCAGTTCTCTGATCTGCAACAAAGACTGCAGACAAAACTTCAGAATATTTACAATGTGCAGTGAAATAAGACATCTCAGAGTGGAATGTTCTCTCCATTGCTTTAGAGTGATTCTCACTCTCAGACATTTTGTATCTGCATACCTGCAAAAAGTGAATGAGGTAACACAAGACCAATCTATTAAACTCTGGCAGGAGTTCCACTACTGCTACAGCAGCATCAGGGTTCTCATAGTTGCTGATACATTCTTTGTAGAATTGCTGTGGGATGACAGGCTCCTCCAGCTCCCGGTACCACAGCTTTAGCAAAGAAGCTTCAAGGGTAGGAAGAAAAACAAAGGCACTGTTAGCAGTAAGGGCATACCAGAGTCTGTATGCCTTTGACAAGGCAGTCTCATGACAGTCAGTATTCCAAAGGGACCGTTAACTGAGTAAGAATACAATACTCCTCCTCTCTGCTCACACTAAACTAGAAAATTAGAACATTTTTTCAGTGGAATGATAGCTTTACCTGATTTCTTGAAATCTATTGTAACAGATCTTTGAAAATCCCAGGCCACAACCTGAAGGAAGTAATTTAGGACAGAAATTGTTCTTGGTGTCAGAAGCTTTGCAGACACTGACAGACGAGCAATAATACTATTTTGTTTTTAATGTGTTGCTTTTATTTTTTATCTGTTTTTGCTTTGATAGTTCACTGTTCCAAAATTTCCCTAGATTTAGAGCAGTATAAATTTATTATAGATAAATAGATACAACATAAAAATGTAAGACATATAGATACTAACTAGCAGACCTCTGTTGAAACTCTCAGTCTGAGTGAATCACAAAGCCTCTCTGAACACAGCTATGCAGTTTCTCCATACCTGGTATATTAGGATCACTTAGGTTGTTAGGAATCTTCCACTGATCCACCTGCAGTTTTAGTGCATTGACTTCATCAATGTCACCAGGAATTCTAGGAGACACAGAAAACCAGCGATAAATTTCAGTTACAGATGCAGCAAAACCAATAGATCAGAAAGAAGAGATACTACTATGGACAAGACTACAGACACTGTTTGAACACCTCTGAGGCATATGCAGCTTTGTTTGATAAGAAAACCACAGCTAGTGTCAGACAGGTGGGGTCCCAACAAAATGTTGCAATGTGAAACAGTTATGTTCACGTTTCAGACAAACATCTATCCCTACTGCAAAATAATTTTTCCTTTTGCCCCCACTCAGCAGTTAGTCACTATACACTTCTACTAAACATGATTCTGGGTTCTATTTTTTCCTAAATGTTTTGTTGTACTTCTGTATTTCCTCAAGCCTGCAGGCATTTCTCCTCTTGTACATGCATGATGCTGTTTAGGCTAGATCCTCCATTTGATGAAAAAGAGAATGAGTTCATTATTAATATATAGCATTAATTTTAAACAGCTGTTGAAAAACCAATGTTTAGACATAGTAGTCCATGAAAATGTTTGGGGCATGTTATTTTTCTGGGAAGGCATTTCTCAATAATAGCCTAAATATGAGAATATTCATTATCACAAAGGAATTCACTTTCTGTGAGTACAAAGCAGACTTTATACAAGTCTGAATGTGAACAGTTTGAATTTAAAAGTGTTTTCTCCTGCCAGATGCATGACAGAAATTCTATTCAGCAATCCAATGGACCCTCTTCAATTTTTTGTAGTGTTCATTCTATAAATGTCCTTCTATAAATGTTTGTATTATTTGTTTCCAGATATGGTTCATGGTCCTGAATCTTCTGGTCAGAGAACACTAAATAATAATAAATGAATTCCTAATTTATTTCCAGTGTTCCTTGCTTTTGCAAAGCTTCAGGCTACAGTTAACATCTGTTCTGTGCAGTAGAGAAGAATGGATAGGGGAAGCTGGAGGAACACATGGATGGCAGTACCCATAGGTCTCCTGCAGTTCTTCATGATCTTTGTGCATCACTATATGGGCTCTCTGCCTGTGTGGAGCCTGTTACCAGGAAGATCCAATATCCAAGAGCATTTTGGCAGGAAGCCCTCCCCCACCTGGTATCCTATAAAAGGGAGGGGGTCCTGTCATTTCCCTCAGTTCTTCTAGCACCTTCAGTGTCTAGGAGGTTCTCTTGCTGTTCCTTATCCTCAGAGCGTTTTCCCTTGATTTTTCTCTTGTTACCGTTTTTCCTGAGTGTCTTTTTCTTGTTTCACCTTTTTCTAACTCCTCCTTTCCATCTTTCTTTCCATCCCTTTTTACCTCCCTTCAAAAATAAAATGCATCAATAAATAAATAAACTCTCTTCGTCTTCCCCCATCTATTCTCTTCTTCAGTTTTCCTCTATTTTTCTCTTTCTTTTTGCCTTTTTGTACTTTTGCCCAATGACATCGAAAGACACTATTTTAAAAGTGTGTCCATTGTTATGCAAAGACTACATATAATGGACAGACACTCCTTGTGCCTTTTGTGTCTGGGCAAGAAACATGCCATGGATCAATGCCTGCATTTTCATTTATAAAACAAGTGGGGAAGCAGAGAGAATATACTTTACACGCTGAACTGTGGGACAAAACTCTGTATGTGATTGATGCACCAGGCTTGCCTGGCTCCTGCTGCCCATCTACAGTGGCCTCCACTCATTCCCTGAGGTCTGTGCCATCTGCCTCAGCCACTGCTCCCCCAGTGACTATCTCTGTGGGTCCTTTGCCACCCCCACCTTTGGGCAAGTAAAGTAAAGCTTTAAAAGGCTAAAAAGTTGTCCAAAAGAGCCAAGGAAGAAACTTGGTTCCCAAAATTCACACATTCTGTGCATTCACACAACCTATCCACCTGTCCCACTGGGTGTCGTGGGCAATATAGCTATCTGTGTTCGTATGTGTCTTTGTCTTTTTGTGTTTCTCTTCTTTGTTACTACTTGCTAATGTGGGGATGATACTACTTTGCTGAATATGAAGTCAGTACTACCAATCTTTCCTCAATCTCAAGGCTACCAGACTGTCTTGTTGGAACTGAGGGAAATGGTGGGAGCCCCTATCTTCTATATGGATGCTGGAGTGGGGAAGGGTTTTCACCAAAATGCTTTTAGCTATTGAATCTTCCAGGTAACAGGCTCCATGCAGGTGCAGAGTCCATAAGTGTGAATGAACAGTTGACCAATCAAAGGACTGTAGTTACAGGTAAGCAACCTGCTTATTCCAGCCACCTCTGAAGAAGTTAGCAATGGCCAAAACTTTCACAGATATGGTGATATACTGAGAAAGGGGAAATTAGAAAATGTGCATGCAATTGTATTTTTCCATATTAAATAGCAAAGAAAATCAATAGTGAGTTATATGAGTAAGTGGAGCTAGATTATTTGCCTATATGCTCCTCCCTTGACTGGTTTGTTAACCAGCCATTGCTTTACCTAGCATCTTTTTTTCCTGAAAGGTCCTTTATTGTAGGCTTTCTGAAATTGGTTTGAAGCTTACAGACAAAATCTGTGACAGCTTCATTCCTAATAAACATTTTAATTCTCAAATTGTTGTTTTGAGTTGTCCAGTGTAATGATTCAACAGAAGCGCTATATCGCCAAGAACATTTGCAGCATTATCAATTTTCACAAGCAATTTTCAGTTTCTGTAAATTTCTGTATGTACGAAGGGGGAAGTTCTAATTGTGCGCTGTGTGTACTAAATGGTTAATGCGTCTTACTTTAAAATTCCACATCAAGATGGGCATGTTGGCCTTGGGCCAGAGTAACACAGCTGGGAATGGAAACTTAACTGAAGGACACAACTGACAACTTTAGTCTTTTTTCAGGACTAAAATGGGACCAATCACTATTTCTCTCTCTGTCATTCCTGAGCAATGGTTGACACTTGGGCTGCACTGGAGGTCACAGCTGCTGAATCTTCAGATTCTAATATCTATATAGCTAGAAATAATGAACATACTCCTGAGGCTGTTTCTTAGGTATCAGTCTACTCTGGAGCAACTTCATAAACATTAGCAGAGGGCAACTTGTCTGGAAGCAACTGATGAAATGCTCAAGTTGCCAAAGGCATCATAAATCTTTTGCTAGAGTATCTTTTGCCATCTCATAGATACTGCTTCATGTACTGAAAGTGTTTGTATAAATGTGGCCTGAGAGGATGCAGTTGCACATGAACTTGAAGGAGAAATCACAAGCAAAGCAAAAAAAACAAGCCAGCTATATAGTATTGAATGAAATGAGTCAATAATGAAACGTTTAAGTAGCTCCAGGAGGCACAGTTCACCTGAATATTCCTTCTGTCTGTTCTCCCCCTAATTCAAGAACTTGCTGAGAAAGCTGTGTCTGTACCCATGGCAGCTTGTTATTTGGATACATGCTCTGCTGACGTATCATGATTTCTTCCAAAGAGCTGCCAAACAGTGAAGGTGTCACAATCGCATTTTTGGCATGTATGATCTCCTCAATTGTAGGCTTTCGGAGACCCTAGAAGCCAAACAAAAAGCAGTCAACATTTAATGATAAGACACTGGTAAGAATGGGCATTGAATGCAAGCCATTGAATGATTCCACGTAGCTTCTGAAAGAGTAACAAATTCTGTGTATGACAGCCTAGTTTACACATCTTGATAAACAATCAAGGATTTAATTAACCCTTGGCACATGGTCACCATTTTGAATATGTAAGCCCCAGCTGCTCTGACCCACTTTCTCTCTGTCCACAGTCCACCTTGTGTCAAGTGTTCATATGGGCATGCAGAAGGAAGCAAGTCTGAGTGAGTACCGAAGGTCAGCTTGTGAACACAGCACTCACTGCTCATGTTCCTATTCTGCCAGTGGAATTCTGCTTTTGTACCACCTGTGATTTGTGGGCTTTGTGTATTTTGCACGTAGAATTGTGTAGTTTGTACAAAGAAGGGATCTACTAGTGTTTCTGAGCATCTGTGGACTTGCTGTTTACATGGTTCACTTCTTGAGCAATGCTGAGTACTGAAAAGAAATCTGGGATCTCAAACTTATGGTCATCTACACAGCGTCTCTCCTTCATGGATCACTGCCTTGTCGTGGCGAAGGGGCTTGCTTAGCTCAATGAAGCTATGAGCTATGCCGTGCAGGGCCACCCAAGACGGACAGGTCATAGCAGAGAGCTCTGACAAAACGTGATCCACTGGAGAAGGAAATGGCAACCCACTACAGTATCCTTGCCATGACCCCATGGACAGTACCAAAAGGCAAAAAGATATGATGCTGGAAGATGAGCCCCTCAGGTCGGAAGGTGTCCAATATACTACTGGGGAAGAGAAGGGAACTAGTACTAGTAGCACCAGAAAGAATGAAGTGACTGGGTCAAAGCTGAAAGGACACTCAGTTGGTGATGTATCTGGTGGTGAAAGGAGAGTCCGATGCTGCAAAGATCTATACTCCATAGGAACCTGGAATGTAAGATCCATGAATCAAGGCAAGCTGGATGTGGTCAAACAAGAGATGACAAGACTGAACATCGACATTTTAGGAATCAGTGAACTAAAATGGACAGGAATGGGTGAATTTAATTCAGATGACCATCAAGTATACTACTGCGGGCAAGAATCCCTCAGAAGAAATGGAGTAGCCTTCATACTCAATAAAAGAGTAGGAAAAGCAGTATTGGGATACAATCTCCAAAATGAATGAATGATCTCAGTTTGAATCCAAGGCAAACCATTCAACATCACAATAGTCCAAGTCTATGCCCCAACCACTGGTGCTGAAGAGGCTGAAGTTGACTGGTTCTATGAAGGCCTACAGCACCTTCTAGAATTAACTCTAAAAAATGATGTCCTTATCATCATGAGGGATTGGAATGCTAAAGTAGGAAGTCAAAAGATAACTGGAATAACAGGCCAGTTTGGCCTTGGAGTACAAAATGAAGCAGGGCACAGGCTGGTAGAATTTTGTCAAGAGAATACAATGGTCATAGCAAACACTCTTTTCCAACAACCCAAGAGAGGACTCTACACATGGACATCACCAGATGGTCAACACAGAAATCAGATTGACTCTGTGCTCTGCAGCCAAAGATGGAGAAGCTCTATACAGTCAGTAAAAACTAGACCAGGAGCTGACTGTGGCTCAGATCATGAACTTCTTGTTGCAAAATTTAGGCTTAAGTTGAAGAAAGTAGGGAAAAGCACTAGGCCACTCAGGTATGACCTAAATCATATCCCTGATGAATATACAGGAGAGGTGACAAATAGATTTAAGGAATTAGATCTGATAGACAGAGTGCCTGAAGAACTATGGACGGAGGTTCGCAACTTTGTACAAGAGGCAGCAACTAAAACCATCCCAAAGAAAAAGAAATGCAAGAAAGCAAAATGGCTGTCTGAGGAAGCTATACAAATCGCTGAGGAAAGAAGGGAAGTGAAAGGCAAGGGAGAAAGAGAAAGATGCAAACAACTGAATGCAGAATTCCAGAGAATAGCTAGAAGAGATAAGAATGCCTTCATAAATGAACAGTGCAAAGAAATAGAAGAAAACGGAGGACCAGAGATCTCTTCAAGAAAATTGGAGATATGAAGGGAACATTTCATGGTAACTTCCCGACTAGATTTCTGTAACGCGCTCTACGTGGGGCTACCCTTGAAGACAGTCCGGATACTTCAATTGGTGCAAAATAGAGCTGCCAGGTTGCTGACAGGGACTGGGCGTTGTTCTCATATAACCCCAGTTCTCCGTCAGCTTCACTGGCTCCCCATTGAAGTCTGGGCCCAATTCAAGGTGTTGGTTATGACCTATAAAGCCCTTAACGGCTTGGGACCTGGTTATCTAAAGGAATATGCCTGCCCGCCCCCTACGATTGGCAGCGGATGCCCTTCTCCAGGAACCCTCCGTGAAGGATATTAGGAGGGTGAGTACCCAGAGGAGGACCTTTTCTGTGGTGGCGCCCCACCTATGGAATGTGCTCCCCAGATAGGTCTGCCTGGCACCTTCATTATTTGCTTTTTGGCGCCAGGTGAAGACCTTTTTATTTAAAAGTTATTTTAACTGTTAATTTATTATTATTGTATTTATAGATTTTAATATATATAACCGAGATGGTACCGGTTTTTAAATTATTGATTGTATTTTTATGTTTATTTTATGGATATTGTGAGCCGCCCCGAGGCTTTGTTGCAATGGGGGCGGCATAGAAATGTTTAAATAAATAAAATAAATAAATTTCATGCAAAGATGGGCATCATAAAGGACCAAAATGGCAGGGACCTAACAGAGGCAGACGAGATTAAGAAGAGGTGGCAAGATTACACAGAAGAACTATACAAGAAAGAGCTTAACGTCCCTGATAACCATGATGGGGTGGTCACTGACCTCGAGCCAGACATCCTGGAATGTGAAGTCAAATGGGCCTTAGGGCCTGAGCAATAACAAAGCTAGTGGAGGTGACAGTATTCCAGCTGAGCTACTCAAAATCCTAAAAGACGATGCAGTAAAAATGCCACACTCAATATGCCAGCAAATTTGGAAAACTCAGCAGTGGCCACAGGATTGGAAAAGTTCAATTTACATTCCGATCCCAAAGAAGGGCAATGCCAAAGAATGTTCAAACTACCGCACCATTGCACTCATTTCACATGCTAGCAAAGTTATGCTCAAAATCCTACAAGCTAGGCCCAGCAGTATGTGGACCGAGAACTACCAGAAGTACAGGCAGGATTTAGAAGAGGGAGAGGAACTAGAGATCAAATCGCCAACATACTCTGGATCATGGAGAAAGCTAGGGAGTTCCAGAAAAACATCTACTTCTGCTTCATTGACTATGCTAAAGCCGTTGATTGTGTGGATCACAACAAATTGTGGCAAGTTCTTAAAGAGATGGGAGTACCAGACCATCTTATTTGTCTCTTGAGAAACCTATATGCGGGTCAAGAAGCAACAGTGAGAACTGGACACGGAACCACTGATTGGTTCAAAACTGAGAAAGGAGTTCGGCAAGGCTGTATACTGTCACCCTGCCTATTTAACTTATATGCAGAGCACATCATGAGAAGGGCAGGCCTAGATGAATCACTAGTTGGAATTAAGATTGCTTGGAGAAATATCAACAACCTCAGATATGCAGATGATATCTCATGGCAGAAAGTGAAGAGGAACTAAAGAGCCTCTTGATGCGGGTGAAGGAGGAGAGCGCAAAAGTTGGCTTGAAACTCAGCATTAAGAAAACTAAGATCATGGCATCCGGTCCTCTCACTTCCTAGCAAATAGATGGGGAAGAAATGGAGGTAGTTACACATTTTATTTTCCTGGGCTCCAAGATCACTGCAGATGGGGACTGCAGCCAAGAAATTAAAAGACGCTTGCTCCTGGGGAGGAAAGCTATGGCAAATCTAGACAGCATACTAAAAAGCAGAGACATCACCCTGCCAATAAAAGTGCGTATAGTCAAGACTATGGTTTTCCCAGTTGCAATGTATGGCTGTGAAAGCCTGACCATAAGGAAGGCTGAGCACCGAAAGACTGAGGCCTTTGAAGTGTGGTTCTGGAGGACACTCCTTGGACCGCAAGGCAATCAAACCAGTTAGTCCTAGAGGAGATCAACCCTGACTGCTCTTTAGAAGGTCAGATAATGAAGATGATACTCAAATACTTTGGCCACCTAATGAAAAGGAAGGACTCCCTGGATAAGAGTCTAATGCTGGGAACAATAGATGGCAAAAGAAGAAGGGGGCGGCAGAGGATGAGGTGGCTAGATGGAGTCACTGAGGCAGTTGGTGTGAGCTTAGGTGGACTCTGGGAGATGGTGGAGGACAGGAAGGCCTGGAGGAGTGTTGTCCATGGGGTCGCAATGAGTCGGACACGACTTCGCAACTAACAACAACAACACAGCGTCTAGCAGAGAGCTTCAACTAAGAGGGACATCGACATGTAATGAATAACAGTAACAACAGTAGTAGCATTAGCAGCCAGAAGATTGCACCCTATGTTACTAGATCATACTTTCATGACTGACTCACCTTTTTGCCTCCAGTGACTGCAACCTTTTGTAGCTTCCGGTAACAGTATCTGGCATAAGTGCTGATAGGCAGACCTAAGAAACAGAAAATAATTAATTGGGCCATCTTAGAGCACTGGAGATTTTAGTGAGAAGAAAATTGCCCAAGAGCACAACATTTCTGTAGACTCTCCGTAACTGACCCCCAGGTTTATCTATCTCAGCAAATTTTAAAAGTGTTGTATAGACCTTCTTACTGTTGGGTGTGCAATAAATGCACACTTATGGTAGATTGAGATATCCTTTGTCAAGACAGCACTTTTGCTGGGTGGTGTTATTTTATTTTCCCAGCACTCAAAATTGTTATATCCCCCAATTATTGCATCTACTGCAGGGATGGGTAGGATCTGTTTTGTTTTTAGTAAAATGCTGTGGCCTATCAACCAGAGCCAGACGCAAAATGGTGGCTGGGTGGAGGGACACAGCCAGTTATCTATTATACATACAGTTATACAGGATACAGTTATCTACTATATTGGGGTATGTAGAAATACAGGGTGTTTCATAAAGTACGGTTTTTGAATTGTGCGGTATTTTTTTGTTTGAAGATTGTCAGCACTGTTCCTATCATTTTCGTTATCTATTATCACTCCAATTAGAAGATCGTTTGTCATTTTTCCATTTAGTAGCCATGGAGTGGTTCAGTATCGAGCAATGCATTCTTATTGTGAAAACTCATTACAAAAACGGGGAGTGCTATGCAGAGACTGTCCATAAACTTCACACGATCTTTGGACGTGACAATGCCCCTACCGCAACAACAGTTTCAAAGTTACTACAGAAATTTGAAGAATCTGAGTCAGTTGCAACCAGAAAATCGCCCGGTCGAAACCATACAGGTAATCGGTGAAATCGACAGGGACGTCTGCGAAAGAGTTATCGTTAATTTCAACGATTGGATGACTGCCTGCAGAGAAAGTGGAGGTGGACATATGCTCAATATCATTTTTCATTATTAAATCGAAGTATATATTGAATGAAATTAAATAAAAATTTTGAATTCAATTTTGGCTGATTTATTGCATTTTTAAAAACTGCATACTTTATGAAACACCCTGTATAACACCACAAATCAGGGGATTCAATGCATCTCTATAAATCTGCCCAGCAGAGCAAGGATCTTGTCAAAAGCAGCTAATAAATACTAGGACATAGGCTGTAGTGATTGTTGTGTACCCTTACTCTTGTTAAAGGCAGAATCCCTTGGGAATCTACCACCCAAAGATCTATCTTTGCTAGCAGAAAATTGTGTGAATTTACTTTTTAAAAATATTGTTATTTGCTTTTTCGGTGTGGCAGAACACATGAAAAAATTGTCACTCTTGAAAGACAATGTTTTCTCTGTAGCAATGTTCTGTATTCGGGGGGGGGGGGAAATCCCTCCAAATCTATGTATTTTGTTCTAACCTGTATGTTCCCCCTTCTTTACCATGGTTCTGAGGCAGAGAAACAGTTCCATGTGTGAAACAAAGTCATCCCTAAATTAGCCAGAGTAAGGTGACTTTATTTATTAGATTTATAACCTGCCTTTTTAAAGCACTCAAAACAGCTTACATAATTTTCCTCCTCCTCCTCTCAATCCTTTCCCCACAACAATCCTGTGAGTTAGGTTGGACTGTAAGTCTGCAACTGGCCCAAAGTCACCCAGTTGGCTCTATAGCTGAGTGAGGTTAGAACCCAGATTCCCTGAGTCTAGTCTTGGTACTATCAGAGTGCTCAGAATACTGCTCACAGTTCTAGTTATGACATCTCAAAAATGATATCATAACATTGAAAGTAGTTTATAAAAGGACAACCAAAATGTTCAAGAGGGTTGGAACAACTAGCATATAAGGAAAGATTGCCCCATTTGGGGCCATTTAATTCAGGGAAAAATGAGTTGCAGGAGACTTCACAGAGTTGTATAGCATTATGTGATGTGTGGAGAAGTGGATAGTGAGAAATATTTCTCCCTCTCACATAATACTACAGCCCAGGGTCATCCAGTGAAAATGAACTTCCTTTATATGAGAGCCAGTGTGGTGTAGAGGTTAAGAGCATGGGAATGGGACTCAGACGATCTGGGTTCTAGTCCCTGCTCAGCCATGGAGCCAACTGGGTGACTTTGGGCCAGTCACAGACTCTCAGCCCAACCTACCTCACAGGGCTGTTGTTGTGGGGATAAGATGGAGGAGGAGATGTAAGCTGCCTTGAGCCCTTTGTAGGAAAAAGGCAGGATATAAATTGAAAAATAAATAAATAAAATATATCAGTTGCTAGGATATAGGAGGGTACTATTGCCCTTACAATCTGCTTGTGGGCTTCCCAGAGGCATCTGGCTGGCTAATCTGAGGAACAAGAAACTAGATCGTATAGGCCTTTGATCTGTATAGGCCTCTTATATTGTTATGCCAATTATTTAGTTTATATATTAGTTATCACCATTAGGAAAGTCACTGAGTTGTTCTGCCTCATGTACCAACATTTTCTGTGTCTATCTAGGAGACTTACAAATCTTTTCCATATCGAAATAGAAAAGTAGCAACAAGAGCAAGGATGAATGCAAGAAATGGTAATACTATTGCATTCTGTCCCCAGGCAAAAACGTCAGACAAATAGCACCTGCAAAGATAAAATTTCCATATATAGAGGGACCCTGAGGACAGTTGGACTATGGTAAGAAATTTAATATGGATTCTCTGAATGATAATAACTTGCATGTACACAATTCTGCTCCCTTGAAAGAAATTTAGAGGCCCAATGTAAATGGAACAATTTTTGTGCTTGGCAAGATGGCAATACAGCATGGCTTGTCTACACCAAATTCATTTTAGGATTTTTTTCTTTTTTAATGCCTATCAGTTATTAAGTATAAAGTATAGTTCCAGACTACTAGAGAAGAAAAAAAGAAACCCATTTACCACAAAAACAGAGCTGATATATGGCAAAATTAATGTTCCTACCAGGCTCCCCTAAGGTGGGGCTGGGGTCAAATAAATTAAGAAATTCCATCCAAATTGGAGAGTTCTAGATTGTCCTGTAAATATATGGCTGCAGTCCTATGCATGTTTCTTTAGAATTATGTTTTACTGAAATAAATGTGCCCTTAAATATGGTTTAAGATTTATAATTAAATCCTGCTCTATCAAATGTCATGTTCACAGTTTACCAGCAGCAATTTTGTATTTTCCTCCATTCCTGATGTCCTGATAACTTAAGATTTGATTTTTCTACAATACAGCACCATCCCACTATACCTAAATGAATGGTATTCAAACATGGGCAAATATAACTGTACCTCCTCCTTATCTGCCCACCATTCTTTTTACCTTCATCCTCTGTGTTTTGCTTCCTCTTTTTCCTGGATTTTGAGTTCTTTTTGTTTTTTAGATCCAGAAGCTCCTTAATGCGCTGGGTAACTGAAAATCCAAAGCATTGTTGATTGAGTGATGGCAAAAACTTTGTATGCTCACTGCCCTTTTCTACCTTTACATGGTGAGTTATGGCAGAAGGAGGTCCTGTATTTATTGTATTTACACATCACAAAATCAGCTCTAGGTATTCCCCCTCTATCCTTGCAAGGATAATTTTGGAATGTTTTTGTGATATGTAACAGAGAGAGGGTTCAGCATTTAATATGTCCTTTCTCAATTTATTAATTTGATTAAAGATCAGTTGCAATGCTTACTATTGCTAGATCTTTGAGAGCTGTTAAGAGTTCTGGCTTCTATTGAACTCTAAAATAAAATATTCAGCACTGGAAATATAGAACAGGTCTCTGATGAAGCCTCCAAATTAATTCTTCCTTTTCAGTAACCTTAAGAATATCAATCTAATTTGGGGAAAAACACTTCTCAAGCATTTACTTCTGGATTTCTTGGAACTGTTAGCGTAAACTCAGCACCTCAATGCAAGCAAATAAGCAACACTAAAGCAAATATTTGATTTTTATGCATCTTGCTTTATAATCCATGAAGTAGTTTCCCACCAAGATCTAAAGCAGGGTTTAGGCAACTTCTTTTACATCAAGAGGCTTGATCCCTCATGGGTAATCTCAGGAGATGCATGACAGTGGTGAGACTAAAGCCAGTGGTGGGTAGAGCAAAAGCCAAAACTAGGTAGCTTACTCTGCTTCTCTTTCTGCAATCCCCCTTTCTCTCTCCTTCATTTCCACACAAAATGAAGGAAAGGAAATGCCAAGAAAAGCACAGACTACTCTTGTTAAAGGTCTCTACAAATAGTTTGAGGAGCTTTGAAGATAGTTTGAAATTAGCTATAGGCTACATGAACTTATATTGAGGACTGTAGGTTTATCACCCCTGTTCTAAAGGTGCTTGTGATAGATTCCTCTTCCTTGCTTTAAAACATTTTGATTCAGTGAAATTAATTCTGGGCTATTATATCCAATTCACTCAATCCTGTGCTAATATAGCCAACCTCCTAGAACATTGTAAGAATGCTTCTTTGTTAAACTTTAACAAAAAGAATATGGCTTTGACCAAAACAGCTGTGTCGTTCATGTTCTGTGTAATATCTGCCTCCTTTTGTAACACCTACTCTATTTTACCATACAGGGAAGAAAGTGATATTTGGTTTTAATTCTGCATGATAGTGTTGAGCATCTTTGCTATCAAAATGTACTGTTTTTACTACTCTAACCGTGGCCTGTTAAAAATTAACTCTTCACATTATATGTCCAATATTTCACAGGCAAATACATTTTCTATACACACTGGCTGGGTGCACACAACATGACAATTCATGCTCAGTGACAATCCACACTCAATTTTGTTTGTGCTCTGTCATATTGTATGAACCAACTGTTTGCAGACAAGAGTTTAAAAATAAAAGCTATTTTGCTTTACATCAGGAAATGAAAGCAGAACCATGCCCTGCTGAACAGTATTTCTACTAGATTTGTATTTGATATTGTCCTTTAATACACTGCACTTGGATCCAATATACTTGGATACTTACTGTTTTCATCATTGACTTGGCTGAGGTGACGATAGATGTAACCTTCCAAGTAAGACTGGAACTTTGGTGATGGGGAGAAAAAGGCCAAACTAATGGCCATCAGTTCCCAACCCCAGGCCAGGCTTCGGTAGCATATATTGTCTGTTGTTTGTCTGATCAGCTGTATATATAACTCATCCCGTAAACCCTGAATGCTCCAGCACTTGGTGACAGTGATTAAAGCAACATGTTCCCGATCCATCCGAGCTTGTCGGTCACCCATGTAGACTTGTATCAGTTTAAATATTTCACAAGCTTCCTTTTTGATGGTGTGGTTGCTGGTGATAAGCATTGGCTTTTTGATAGAGCCACCGTTCCAAGAGAGCATATTAGCAATGGAGAGCCTTCGCCGAAAGATACCCTGAGTGTGCATGTTTAGGTTTTTAGAAGCCCAGTCGGCCATGCTGCTTTGTGAGATGGGTTTCCGTATGGTGTGGAAGGGAAACTGATATCCCATGTTGGTGCCAGGCTGATCATTGTTCTCCTCATGGGAATCAGACCTTATTGTTCCAGACTGCAATGGAGAACAGACAGAAATTGTGAAATAAGCATCTCAGTGCCACATTTTTTTATAAGCAGAACTGCTACCAACTATTCACTTCTAAAGAAGGGAAAAGCCTTGACAGAAGCTCCAGTTAATACAGTAACCTTCTTCAATGTGGTGTCCTCCAGATCTTTCGTACTGCAACTCTCATGGATTCTGATGACTGGCTATCCTGGCTGGGGTTGATGGGAGATGAATTTCGGAACATCTGGAGAGCACCAGGCTGGGTAAGGCTGGACTATACCAAGAACCTGGGAAATGTAACCTCTAAGTTAATATTTAAAAAAAATCTTACTGTGAAGATTTGAACCCCTCTGACGGACAGATGCCTTTGAGATTGTTTTACAATCAAAATCCTCCAATGACAATGTTACAATAATCAAAATAATAGTTAATAAATAAAAATTTGAGGTTTTTTTTGCAGGGGATTTACTTTATTAAAATGAGTATGTGAGCATTAGGAAGTGCAACATAGAGCAAGGGTGCATGTCACAACAGTAACCTGTAATTTTTAAATGAAGTAAGCTGCCTTGACTGAGCTTTTGTACCAGATGGGCAGGACATAAATGCTTTAAAGCAAATAAATAAAGAAATGTCAGCTTGAGTGCTTGCTGGGTAGCTGTACAGGACTATTTGAAAATACTTTTTTGGCTGGTGTCACCTTAGCTACATGTTAAAGCCACTTCATGTCTTCCTGCACTGCAGTCTGTACTTGGTCTGCATTTTAAGAAATAAACAAAACAATCAGAACTGTTTGTGGCTCCAATGCCTGAGATTATTCATGTTTAGAAGAGCATCTTTGCCCATATTTGTGCTTGTATCACTAAATGATTCGTATATCCTATGCAGTATAAAGACTACGAAAGAACTGCGTGTACACATTCTACACAATCAGGATTCCTACCTTCCAATTCAGGGGGCTGGAACAAGCAGACATTTATTTATTTAAGTACCAATAACATATATTATTATTATTATTATTATTATTATTATTATTATTATTATATTATAACATTTCTATATATATCCCACCATATTTGATAACAGAACAATTTAAACCAACAAAACCTTAAAGCAATTTCAAGAAAACAGTAACAACTCCAAAACTACATAGTTTAACAGCCTAATTTAAAAGATTAATCCTCATGCCCTTTCTAAAAGCCAAGATAATGGAAGCTAAATCTTCAGCAAGTGCCTTCTACAGTTTGGGAGCAAAACAGAAGAAGGCCCATTCATACCTGCCCAAGGAATGGTTGTCAGTGGGCAATGGTGCTTTCAAGAGTTCCCCATTTGCTAATTTTAATAACTGGATGGATTCACAAGATAGGTGGCTCCTGAGATAGCCATTTCTTATGCCATTTAGGGCTTTAAAGGTTTAAAATCAACACTGAATTGGGTTTGGAAAGCGCCTGGGAACTAGTACAAGTATTTCAAGACAGGTATAATATATAATACTCATTCCAGGTACCAGTTAACAGGTGAGCTGTCACATTTTGCACCAACTGATATTTCTGAAGCTGAATAAGCAACAGCTCAACACAGATCACATTGCACATGCTATGACCATGGCACAGGCAGCTGTTGCCTAGTTAGACAGACTGAGGAATTCTGTTATCTGTTGCATCAAGTGTAACTGTAAAAGCACACTTTTTGCCATTGCCACTACCTGAAGATTCAGGGTTAGAACTATGAACCTGATCAGCCAGCCCCTTCCAGAACAAGCAAAAGTTCAATCTTTGAACCAACCTTTCTATTGACCGACAACATCTCTGTCTTGCCTGATCATAACCTCAACTTGTTCACCTTCATCTAATCAGTTATCAAGGGTTTTGACAAAAGTGGCAGCCAATGCTGACTCAGCCAATGCTAAAAAGCACAGTGTTCTGTGTGTGCGTGGTGGTGGTGGTGGTGGTGGTGGGGATTCAGTGTTCAGTAATGTGACAAGGAACCAGTATGTTCCATTGATCATCATTAAGCACCAATTGCTAACAGTGATAAAAGTAAAAGGTGAGATAGTTGTTTTAGGAATCTAGAAAGTTGCCAGGTTTGTGGATTAGCTTTATAGAATGATATAACAACTTTTCTACCAAAACAATTGTAATAGGACCACAATGACTTCCCAGTGAAAAGCATCTGTTTCATCCAACTTTCAACTTCAGCATTAAAAAAAATTCCCTGCCCTACTAAAGCAACTCAAACAACCACTATCAGAGGCTTCATTCTCCCAACATCACCACAGAAGTGCCTTACAGCATGGCAAGCATGATTATTATTAATAAATACCTGGGATATTTGTGCTGTGTCAGATGGAGACAGGTTTATCGGACTGGCCACATTCTTTTCTAAAGAATCTATTTTTTCATAGGTTCTCTTCTGCCTCACAGTATCTTGATACAGAGCTGGATCATTTGAGAGACTCCCTCTACTGTCCATTCTAGGCCTGAATAAAGACTTGCTACTCGAATTCACATCATCCCTTGAGTTTCTGCTGTTACATTTTTTCAAGCGGTCTGACTGAAACTTAATTTTATTACCCTCTGGCAAATTAGCATTTTCCAGCATTTCTGCATCTAAGCTAGTTTTACTTCCTCTTCCAGCAGCAGATCTATTCACCACAGCACGCATCTCTGCAATCAGCTTGTCATTCAGAGCACTGAGTTCACTACTGCTACCTACAGAACCTGGCCTTCCCTGACCTGGAGCTTGTCGCCTTCCTTTTCTCTTTCTCAGGCTTGGAGAAGGTCCTGTTGAATATCCAGAGTCTTGCTGACTTATAACAGTAGGATATTCTTGAGCCTGAAGACTGTTCTGCCGGCTGTGGTGGGCCTCCATATTTTTGAGAACATTTGCCTCTAAGGCTTTCCAAGACTGCTTGAAGCTATCCCTGGAACTAAGCTGACCTAGCTGTGGTTTAGTGACGCCATCAACTGCCGCACTTACAGAGTGAGGATTTTTGGGTGATGGGTCAATGTTGACCATATGTTTAATATATTCTCTTCCCACTGGGCTGTACTCTGTGGTGGAAAGATTTCTCATATGCTTTTTTCCAGGTTGGTAGTGGTGCTGCATACTTGGATGCTGTAATAATTTAACTGGGTGAGGCTTATTTAAGCTATTACTTGGTGAAATTTGTAGAGTTGTCCCATTTCCAGTGTCCATATCTACAGGGGGTTCATCATAAATTGGGGAGTCAATCGATGGCTCATCATATATTGGTGCCGGAGAAGCATACTTGGGAGATGCAGGTTGTGATGCTCGTGTCTGACTCCCTGAAAGAGGCTGATAAGTGAGTCCATTACTTAACACCAGACAAAACCCTCCATTCTCTGTCTTCTTAACTTGCATGGACTGCTTTGTTTCTATTGGAGGTGCTTGTTTTGACACCAATGCATTTGGAGCTACAGACTGAGGTTGGGCATATACAATTGGTTTTGGATGCAAAGATTTCTGGCTGCCAGTTTCTCCACTGCTCTGCATTTGAAGTGAACTGCTTGAAGAAGAATTCACTTGTCTGAGACTGTTGACTTTGACTAGCATGGCTGCTTTAGTTCCTGGTAAAGGTTGCCATCGAGTAGGTGTATCTCTGCAGAAAAAGGAAAACAGAATTTATGCAAAGAAAGCAAAAAATATAATGCTATCTTCAAGTGTAAAATGCAACCACAACTTTTATCCAGGTTCTTAACCCTCAGGACCTTTTAAATTCATATGTTTGAAGATAAAGTTTACCAGAGACTAAAAATCATAATCTAGCTACATAAAACTTTTAAAAACTGTTTTTGTAATTATTATTTTGGCTTGAAATATTAAATGCACTGTTTATTCTATAAGCTGCCTTTGTGAGATATAAAAGCATTGAGGAATAAATAAACTATTATTATACTAGAAGAACTCCTATATCAAATCTTCAGTTTGTAGCATCATGCAAAGATGTTTCTGTCAGAGTTATGGCAAATAGCAACTGGAAAATTATCTATCACACCCACTACAGGAAAATGCTGTGCAGTGTTCCTGTCCTGTGTCAGTCCAAGTCTTCTATGAATGATTTCAGAGGGCACCAAATACTGATTTTTAAATTTCTGAACATTAAACATGATTCCCATGGCCCTACTTTTAAAGTTGTGAATAACAGAAACAAGAACAATTTTGTGAAGGTTTAAATATTAAGGGACCAAAAAGATGCTAAGAATAATCAGAAAAAAATTGAGGAAAAATGCTCTAAAGAGAAAGGAACAGGAGAGAAAGAACTTCCTGAAGCATGAAAAGCAGTCAAAAAAGAACTGAAAGAAAATGGTGGGAGCTGCTTCCTTTTATACAGGTTCCAGGGGGTGGGATTCCAAGCTAAATCCTCCCAGCAACAGGCTCCACAATGGTGCAGAGCCCATGTGTGTGATGCACAGAGACTATGAAAAAGAACAGATTATCTGTAGATTTCTCTGAGGTTGTGAAAGTGAAGCTGGTGGGCAGGAATGACATGCAGTTTTACTTGTGAGCTTGATTTATGAGCAAACTCCTCTAGTGTGGCCACTAGTGTTTTCAAAAAAGAAAACTTGCTGTCCAGGCATTACCTATCAGTGGGCAACTTTCAAGGCCCTGCTCAATCTTATTTTTCTTCATCTTTAAACTGGACTTGGACTGGACAACCTTCCAAAAAGAAGACTGTGCTCTATAAAGTAGGACACACAGCCACCCTAGTCTCCTCTCTTGCCATATGCTGATCTAATAAACAAAACAGGAATCTTACAGATATTTGTTTCTCCATGTACTTATTCTACCAAACTAGAATCAGTTATTTCTTTTCTGTTTTGCTGTCTAGGTGGGAAGTATAGCAAAACTTTCACCTTTTCAAACATGTGCAAAGCCAAATTAAAAATAAGAATTATTATTTTTTTTTCAGATAGGGCAAATAAGGAAAGGCGGGATTAAAACCAGCACTATAATTATTTGACAGATCTAACACTATCTTGAGCTTTAATTCTGTTGTATACGCTTGCAAAGCAGGGTATCCCTAGAAATATCTGAATATGGAAAATATGTTTAAAGCTGCCAATTATGTTTGAGTCTAACACATTTCTGTTTCTCCAACAAGAGAATATGCTTTCAATAATAGAAAAACTACACATTTTCACAAAATTTATGGTATACACATATCTGGGAGAAATAACACCCTCCTGATACAAGCAAACAGATAAAACAATCTATCATGTATACTAGCCTTATTATGATCAGAAATGGTGTACTCTTTAACTCAAACTAATGGCAGCACTGGAGCTAAATATCTGTGCACTCTAGGTAGAAGTATTAAAATTCCTATTACAGAGAAGTCAAAGTTATTGAAGAGAAGGCAAAATAAAGTCTCAGATGGGTACCCACATTTTCCCCATTCTGTCTCTAACTTTCTACTGAAACCCATAATACTCCCCTTCCCATTTATTCCACCATCTCCTTCTGAGAGCCATACCAGCTAGTTTTTTCCCCTCCTGGGATAAAAGATAGAATGCATTTATTTGAGACTGAAACAGTCAGAAGCATATCAACCACAGCACTGCACTATTCAAGCTGGTTATCATATGAACAACTGTGTAACTTTGTATAATTAGAATACAAGAAATTAATAAATAACATTTATGTACATATCTTTCCTCTGTCATAGAAACTTATTTTTGGGGTGCAGCATTTCAATATATTAATGGCTACTTCTAAGGTCCTAGAACCAAATATATCACTTCAAGGGGCAAATACTAGGCTGCCAAAAGCAAATGCAGATCACCGTTCGAAAGTATAAATTGTTGCATTTTTACTAATTTGCATTTCATGAAATTGATGCTGCAATTTCTTATACCTGGCCCATTTGTACACTGTGTCAAAGACCAGGAAGAAAAGCTCTGATATTATTATGTAAATAGCAAATGACATGAGATAATAGCAAAGGGTAAACAAACCTGTTGGAGAAGATCTGGTTGATGTCCTTCCATGAAGGATCTTTTCTGGGTTGCAATAAGCATACAGTAATGGTGTGAAACCTTAGGCCAGGGGACTAGATCCAGCCCGGCTAGAGACAAAATCTAGTCCTCCAGTGTTTCCCAGATGGCAATGCATTAGTGTCTGCCATATTTCTGTTGCATTTCTCAAGCAGGGTAAACTAAGTGACAGACAGCTTGCTGCATTCTTTTTCTAGCTACATTTGTTCAGGAGATTGAGGCCAGAGTACCAAGAATAGCATGTGTATTGCAGAGAAATATGGCCCTCTGCTGTACCAGCTGGTGAGACGTGAGGGAAAGAAAATCATCTGGGCAGGTGAGCAGAGCAGGTGACAGATAACTACATCTATTGAATGCTTATCTGCAAAGCTAAGTTGGCACCAACAGATAACAGAAGTGAAATAAAGTGCCTGTTCCTTATCATTACCAAACAGTCAGATTAAAAAAAGGCCAGAAAGGCTAGGGAATATCAGGATATTCTTAAGGCTTGTTTAAATAAAGCTTTGTTATGAATTCATCCATCTACAGCACAACATGCAGACTAGTTAAATTCCATAATACATTCAAGGCTTCTACCAGTTAATTATGAGCTGGGAGGTTGTTTTCACTCAGCTTACACAGTTGTGATCCTGAGTTAACATAAGCATATTATATATGCTAACAGCAAATTCAATTATCTGTGTGCTTCTACTTATGTAGCCATACTAGCATCATCCACACACAAAAGAAAGGTATATTAGCAGACTTACAGTTTCCTCAAATTCATTGCAGGTCCCTTTTTTAACAGTTAGCCTGAATGCTGTGGCCAATTTTATATTGCTTTTATAGATGTTTTAATTCATTGTGCTTTAATTGGTTTGAATGTGTTTTACTTTGTTAATATGTTTCAAGTATTGTAAGCCAGGTAGGAAGGCCTCGGCAATTAAAGGTGGCCTATAAATACATGTATGTATGTATGTATAAATATATAAATAAACACGTTAATAACTAATCCACATTAACTCAGATACACAGTCTGTCCCAAGCAAACAGAAAGTTGGAGGGTGCTCATACAAAAATTATTGGAATTATGCCAGCCAAAGTGACTCTTTCACCTGTGGCTGAAGAATATTTGAAAGTTCTTTAATCAAATATTTGTACTACTTAGTTAACAAAACAAAAAGCAAAAACCCACCTATGTTTCCATGAGAAGATTGGGGGGGGGGGGGGGGAGAGAGAGCAAGCATGAGGATTTTATATAGTTTAAATAAATGGTCAGGAATTTAATTCCCAATTCTCCTCTTCAAAAAAGTGTCAGCTATCATAATACAGAAGGGCTAATCTGATTGTTCACAATAAGTATTTTTAGCTTGTCTTCATAATAGGAAACATTTATTTCCCAACAAAGAAATAAAGGAAAGCATACAGTGTTGCATCCTGTGCATAATAGGATACCAGTATGTACAGCAGAGTCAAAATATCCTGCATGGAAACTGGCATGACAAATAGGACTACTCTTGAGCATGCGCAGGAAAAAAAAAAAACTATGTTGGAAATACAAGAGGCATTGTTTCCAGTACAAAATTGTACTCATTTTATTTCTCAATAGTACAATTGTCAGTGGTGTAAACATCTTTTGAAAAATACGAAGCTAAGACTGATCTAGTATGTTTCACTCAACAATCCTTCTTGGCTTGACACATTCGTCACTACATCAAAGACTAAAAATAATAACATCTAAAGGTTTGAAAAAATAGACATCTTTACTATGAATATTCAGTTCAAGCATATCATTTAAAATGAAGCCTCTGTCAATGTAACTCTGTTCTCTGAAAGATTTTGAGAAGAGAAAAGGGATATTCAAGGTTACTGCCCTGAGCTCTTGGAGGAAGAGTGGAATAAAGATGCAAAACAAAATAAAACAAAGCTCAGATGCATTCAGTGCATTTCCTCATCACAACAATCAAGCCCATAAAAACTTTGGCAACCAATATTTAGTTTATATAAAATGTTATACAAACTATTTCAGCACAGTGGGATCTAAATTAGCCTTCTAAAAACTGGCTCTAACACAAATCCAATGCATTTAGAACTCCCAAAATCAATTTAACACACATATCATAGAAGGATCCTCAGTTTTGACTGAACTATTCATGTAACTTGTTTAGGACTGTAATATAAGCCAGTACTCTGGTCTCTCTTCAGATTGTATGACTCTTATTCATATCCCAATACCTCACACTGAATTGAATTCCTTTATTCAAAATTTCAGAGTAAAGCAACTGTTTAACTAAAGTAACTTAGACTTACTTAATATTTACTGAATAAGTAGCCTGCACAAAAACAAAAGTTAAAAGAAAAGGTGCATAGGAAGATGTACAATGGTTGGAAACAAAATTCATTGTCATGCCTTTCCAATGTGACATGATCCTTAAAGGTACATTAAGTTTTTGTGGATGACTGATTCTTATATTCTGGGGGGTGAAAGCTTAATGGATAACTTGGTGGCCACTTCCTGAATGCCAAATACATATTCTTGCTTCAGAACTATGACCATCATTTTCACCACAGCTATCAAAGCTGCTTTTATTTCCACTGAATATTACAACTTTCTCTAAACAAGCCA